TCAAAAAAAAAAAAAAAAAAAGAAGAAGAAGTCTTTGAATAGGATGAGGAAATTAGTAGGGAGGGGGAAAGAATTAAGTTTGGGTAAGTGAATCTTTGAAAGAGGTTGAAATAGTTGGTTTGTATATTTTTTGGGTTTTTTTATACACAGTCTATGTCCCTCTTGGTAAAGTACTGTGGCATCACAGCTCACAGCAACCTCAAACTCTTGGGCTCAAGTGATTCTCTTGCCTCAGCCTCCCAAGTAGCTGGGACTACAGGTGCCCGTTACAACACCCGTCTATTTTTTTGTTGCAGTTGCCATTGTTGTTTTTTAGCTGGCCTAGGGTGGGTTTGAACCTGCCAGCCTTGGTGTATGTGGTAGGCACCATAACCACTGTGCTACGGGTGCCAAGCCTGCTTTATATATTTTCATCTTTTAAAACCTTTATTGAAGTTCAATAAGCATATAAAAAGTATACAAATTGGGCTGGGCATGGTGGCTCCCACCTATAATCCTAACACTCTGGGAGGCCAAGGCAGGTGGATTGCCTGAGCTTACACGTTCAAGACCAGCCTGAGACAGAGCGAGACCTCCCCACCCCCAATCTCTAAAAAGAGCCAGGTGTTGTGGCAGGTGCCTGTAATCCCAGCTACTCGAGAGGTTGACGCAAGATAATCACTTTTTTTTTTTAAGAGACAGAGTCTCACTTTATTGCCCTAGGTGGAGTGCCATAGCATCACAGCTCACAGCAACCTCCATCTCTTAGGCTTAGGCAATTCTCTTGCTTCAGCCTCCTGAGTAGCTGGGACTACAGGCGCCCGCCACAACACCCAGCTATTTTTTGTTATTGTTGCAGTTTGGCCGGGGCCAGGTTTGAACCTGTCCCCCTCAGTATATGGGGCTGGCACCCTACTCACTGACTGAGCCACAGGCACTGCCCCGCAAAAGAATCACTTAAGCCCAAGAGTTTGATCTTGTGAGCTATGACGCCACGGATGGCACTGTATCAAGGGTGACAAAGTGAGACTCTGTCTCAAAAAAAGAGATTTCCATCATCAGACTGTACCCATTAGTAGTTGGTTACCCATTCTACTGTTTTTGGACATGGGGTTGTTTGCAGTCTGTGACTGTTGTGACTGTATATAGTGCTGCTGTGAACCTATACATGTCATTTGGTGCATGTGTATACACATTTCTGTTGGGTATATACCTGTTGGGCATAGGATGTACAGGAGGGCATAGGATGTACACCTGTTGAGCTTCTGTAGATAACTACTAAATAATTTTTTTTTTTTTGAGACAAGAGCCTCAAGCTGTCGCCCTGGGTAGAGTGCCATGGCATTTCAGCTCACAGCAACCTCCAACTCCTGGGCTCAAGCGAGTCTCTTGCCTCAGCCTCCCAAGTAGCTGGGACCACAGGTGCCCATCACAATGCCCAGCTATTTTTTGGTTGCAGCCGTCATTGTTGTTTGATGAGCCCAGGCTGGATTCGAACCTGCCACCTTAGGTGTACGTAGCTGGCACCTTAGCTACTTGAGCCACAGGCGCTGAGCCTAAATAATTTTTTGAAGTGATTAAAGTAATTTAAACTTCCACAAAATAGATGGGTGCTATAGTTCAGTGGTTAGCACCTGCTCCCCTACCCCCAACACACACCAGGGTCAGCGGGTTCGAACTTCACCAGAGCCTAATTAATAAACTCCCACAGAGGCTCAGTGCCTGTGGCTCAAGTGGCTAAGGCGCCAGCCACATACACCTAAGGTGGCGGGTTAGAATCGAGCCTGGGCCTGCCAAACAACAATGAGGGCTACAACCAAAAAAAATAGCTGGGTATTGTGGCGGGTGCCTGTGGTCCCAGCTACTTGGGAGGCGGAGGCAGGAGACTTGCTTGAGCCCAGGAGTTGGAGGTTGCTATGAGCTGTGATGCCATGGCACTCTACCCAGGGGGATAGCTTGAGGCTGTCTCAAAAATAATGATAATAATAAACTCCCACAGAATTATATGTAAGTTCCAGCTCCAAATCCTGAATAAGCAGGTCGTTTGACCCCCAAAATATAGTTCTATCAGGTGTCAGAAGTACTGTATTCTTATTCCACTGAGGAAATGATTTGGTTCATACAAATCATGTGGATTTTGGCTAGCACCAGGCCACAAACTCAGTCTCTTAAGGCAGTGGTTCTCAACCTTCCTAATGCTGTGAACCTTTAATACAATTCGTGTGGGTCGTGACCCACAGGTTGAGAACTGCTGCTCTAAGACTAGATGCAAGTATCAACTGGTCCTTTCTTCACCTCGGCTTACTTTGCTAGAAAGGTATTTGAGTGGAAGTTAGGGGACGTAGTCTAGGACTGGCTATTTTGGGGGGGTGGTAGGAATTGGCAGAAATGTTGATTTATGAGGGAAAAGAATATATCAATGAAGGCTCTTTTTTTTTTTTTTTTGAGACAAAGTCTCACTTTATTGCCCTTGGTAGAGTGCTGTGGCATCACAGCTCACATCAACCTCTTAGGGCTTAGGTGATTCTCTTGCCTCAGCCTCCAGAGTAGCTGGGACTACAGGCACCCACCATAATGCCCAGCTTTTTTTTTTTTTTTTTGCAGTTTGGTCGGGGCCAGGTTTGAACTCGCCACTCTCGGTATATGGGGCACCCTACTCACTGAGCCACAGGCACCGCCCCAATGTAGGCTCTTGATTTCTACATTTTATGTTTCTTGAACTAAACATAACATGCTACAAAAATCATCTCACACCACAAGACCAAGAAGAAACTCAGTTCAACTTGACTATACAGTTGTCCCTTGCTATCATGGAGGGCTGGCTCCAGGTCCTCCTCCTACCTCTCACCTCCACCATCCTGAGATAACCAAAATCCACATAAGCTCAAGTACCTTACATAACATGGCATAGCATTTGTATGTATCTTATGCATATCCTCCCATGTACTTTAACTTATCTCTAGATTACCTATAATACCTAATACAATATAAAAGCCATGTAAATAGCTATTATACCATATTAGTTAACGAATAATGACAAGAAAAGAAAGTCTATATGCATTCAGTACAGATGCAGCCATTTTATTCCTGCAAATCTTCAGTTCATGTTTAGTTGAATCTGCAGGTGCAGAACCCATGGATACAGAGGGACAACTATGCTTTTTGCTTTTTGGCTTTTATCTTGTCCTTCTAAACAGTAGCCCTACCCTTTGCTGTGTCCAAGGGGATGGAACAGTCAGGGTGTAGGGTGGAAGGAGCTCAACGGGGCCCATGAAGGAGGAAGAGGGAACAGGGATGAGATGGGTGCCAGAAGGATTAGGACAAAAGGGACTCTGAGGAGAGCAGGTGAGCAGAGCGAAGCCTCTCTAGGAAGGGTGTTTCTCAGGTGTGGAAAGACTTCCTGCCTTTGTCCCGGTTGTCTCCCCCTAGGTTGTGGGGAAGTAAACGTTACTGCATCTTAAACTCCAAAAGAGATGCAGAGTCTAGGACTGGAGTCCTGGTTCTCTTGGAGGAGCTCTTTCTTGCAAGGAGGAAGCAGCAGTGACCCAGCTGTTGCCAGCTGCAGTGGAAATTCTGAGCTCAAAGTCTAAGGCTGCTAGACCACAGCCAGCTCCACCCTGGGGCCTTGACAGGGAGAGCCTCCTCACGCAGGTCCTCTGGCTATAGTCAGACTTCTCAGGAGTCCCTCCCCTTGCCTAAATTTGGGAAAGAATCCAAATATGTAGCCCTGAAGGGCTAGGACAGCCATATCCCTCCCACCCCCTCCTAAAGTGATCTTTTTGGAGCCTCCAGTGAATTGCTTGGCTTATTTTGTCTAATCTTTTGGGTTACTGCAGTTCCACTAAAAAAGTCAGCAAGAGGCCACCAAGGAGTGAAAACAAACCAATCACATACTCTTTAGGGAAGAGCAAAGAGGAGGGAAAAAAAATGCCTGCTTGGAGTACTGGTCTCAAATTCAGTCCCTGCCAAATGTTTTCAGTTAACTCTTATACTTCTGACTGGTTTTTAGTAATTTCTGTTCTGTCTCTTTAATATTTTCACCCTCTTGGAGTGGAATGTAGAGGCTTTTTTTCTAGCAGAATACCTCTGACATGATCCTGACCTGGGATACTCAGCTTTTGAGAGTTCCATCTGACTCTATTGCCAAAGTGTAATTTTCAAGAAGTAAAAAAACATGACTCTCATGGAAATATAGAATGAACACATGGTGAAGATTTAAATAATTAATTAATTAATTAATTTCGCAGGTTTTGGCCATGGCTGGGTTTGAACCCACCACCTCCAGTATATGGGGCCAGCACCCTACTCCTTTGAGCCATAGGCACTGCCGATTTATTTAATTAATTAATAAGGAAACCAGCAGGATGGTAAAATGGGTTCAAAGAACATTTTAAGAACTGAGTATATTAGGCACGGAAGAAAGAAGGTTGGAGTAAGATTGCTGGGTTAGATACAAAACTGGTTCACATCCTACAGGGCAGTAAAACTAGTAACCTTTGAGAGTATCTTTTCTCCCAGGCAGAAATAACTTGCATTTTTACTGTACAAAAATATACAAGTTGTATCTTTGCAAAGTGTAGGCCCTAATCAGTAGTAAATGATAAGTCAACAAAGCAGCATCCTGTGAAATAACTCTGTAAATGTGCATTTTATTTCATTTCTTTTTTTTTTTTTTTT